GGGGGGGGGGGGGGGGCTCTTCCAGGTGAAAACGGCAATCGTAGCAACTTCAAGCCGATTGATGTTAATTGTCAAAATTCCTGTTGTGCAGGAGGGGAGGGGGCTCTGACGGAGTGCATGGCGGGAGAGGGCAGGGAGTGGGCGCGGGGGAGGGGGGGGGGGGGCTCAGCCGTGCAAAAAGCATCAATTAATAATAGTAAGGAAGACATGTTGCCCGGCCGTTCAAGAAGTCCGTCTCGATTTTCGTTTTTTTCCCACAGACCACTCGGGCAACTTTTACGAAAGGCAAAGTTTTACTTGACCACTCGGGCAGATTCGATTGCATTTTACCACTCGGTCGGGCAAACTCGATGAAACGGGCGGACGGAAGACGCGTTTGCGACGGCTCGCCGGAGAGCATGCATGGAGCGGCCGGTGCGCCGCCGCAGCTCGCCGATGGAGCCTGCGTCGCGGCTCAATCCACTGACGTAGCAGCACTGCGACACACTCTCCAAGCACGGCCTCTGGCGTTGCGATTGCACAGAGAGCGAGGAATAGGCGCCAAAAGCACAGATCTGTGTGCAGTGGATTTCCATGTAGGTCGCGCCCAGCGAGCGGACAACCGCGGGTCTCGGATGCTCTCCCGGACGCGAGCCCACCGTGCGAGTGGCGGACCCGGAGGCGGCCGGCCCAGCTCACCCCCAGAGAGGCCATGGCCAGGGTCAGGCATAAAAGGGGGGTGTTTTTCCGTCCGTCCCCGAATCTCCACTCAGAACACCGCAGACTTGGAAAGTGACAAGTGCGCGCGCCGCAGGCGAAGAGAATTGTGAGCTGGGGTACCTGGTGAGCCGGGATAGGGCAAAATCTGGGGTGAATACGAGGGACAGAGGTCGCAAGTTGGTCGCGCAAGTTTGCGCGGCGTGGCGCTGCCCCGCTGCCCGAGGGCGCCACCAACCCATGGCGGCGGCATTTCCAGCTCAAATTGGGCGTTCCGTGCGCCTTGCCGGCGAGAACGGATCGGCACGAAAAACGAGAAGGGCGGCGGGGGGGTCTGAGTTTCGGTACCCTAGAGAGGACGACTTCGACTCGGACAAGACAATCTTGATGAGGCCGTTGGCCGGCACGATGCCGACGTTCACTATCGTACCAATAGGGTTGTAATGCGAGTGATGAACTCTGGCCACAAAGAGGTGCGGAGGTGCCATGCGCATGCCCGGAAGGCAAGCGATCTCGGGTAACCTCAGGCAATCTCCCTCGGCTGATTGCAGCACATCGTGCACGGGCATCAAGAAGTGCTGCTTCTCTCTGCTCTGAGAGCGTCTTTGAGGGGGCACTAGAGGAAGGGGGGGGGCAAGAGGGCCGCACCTACTCGCAGCGCACGCAGCTTGAGGCCCAGCACGCAAGAAGCCGCGGTGCTCCCCTCGCCCTCGTTGTTTTGGATCTGCGAGCGCGCAGGCGACGGCGGGCGAGCTGAAAGGAGGTGCGCATGGTGGGCTCGCGCGGGGCAAGGGTGGTGAATGGGCAGCAGCGGACGCGTCTCGCGGCTCGTGTCGATGGCGGGGCCTCAAGCTCAACCTGCGAACGGAGGGA